GAAAGAGATTTAAACCGAACACATAAAAAATGCTGTTAAATGTAAAGAAACTGCCTGAAAATGGAGAATGGAGGGAGAATGGCACAAACCTTTTAACTTCTACCAGTTACAGGTAATATAGCATTAAATATAACTGGATAGAGTAGGAAACTTTCAAAGAGAAAAAAGATTTTTCAAATTGCTTATTTTTCTTTGTAATTTTTTAATCCTCAATGACCTCAATTTTTCTGGTGCCCACTGAGCTTTTGTAATTGCCAGCTTTAGGACTAGGTCTTTGAATTTATTTAGCACAGATAATTACAGACAGTGCTATGAGGGCTATGCTTAATATTACACGTTTCCCACTACCTGACCCTGTTAAGACCTAAAGTGTTAGGACTGGCATTTTCTAACCTGGATGCTTGTGTGTCAGAGCACAAAATCAGGGGAAATACAATTCCCTAATTGATATAAAAGTAGTTCCTGCAGCTATTACTTTCTAGAGTACCTATGTTTTGAATCAGGATCTTGAAGTATATCACAAAGCAGCAGCTACCTCTACTTTCCCATGCTTGTCCAAGATTAAGGCTTTCAAAAAGGTTTGGTTTGAATATGGTCAGTAGATACTTGAACTTGGCAGCCAATAAGCAATTCCATCTGCACTGTGCATACTTTTCTTTTGACTGCTATGCCTTATGAATGCGTACAAGGAACAAGTGTAAAAAGAAGCTCCCCGGCCTCCCGCCCGATTTTGGCCTTTTAGTGTTCCTGCTGTTGGGGGCAGACAAAAAGATCTATCTTATCCACTGCACTGAGATGCCTTTGAGAATGATTAAATCTCCTTTAGTCTTTCCCCAGGGCTAGAGATAGAAGTCAAGATTTCTGTTCATCAATATCCTGTCCTTTATAGACAGTAAAAGCACATGTCAAGTTCTCTTTCACCAGCCTTTCCAGACCACATTAGAACGTATGCTTGATTTTCATCACCTGTTAAGAGATGGAATATAAACTTTAGAAAACGTATATCAGCAGCGTTGCTAGAAAGGACTGAATAGCTCTCTTGCCCAGTGTGACAAACTGTGACATATCTCTGTCAATTTGTAAACTCCATTTTGTTTGGGTTCACATAAATACAGGATGGGTGGTGACTGTCCCCACGTGAGCTGAAGACTTCAATTTCATCCCACATGAGAAAGCATGTCTTGTGGGAAATGGACTGGAGGAAAAGGAGAGAAACAGGATTTCTATAAGCTTGAACTTCCCTAGGGATCAGCCAGAAAATCATATCCTATCGACATTCACTGAATGCTGGGCATGCCTTGCTTTTGGATAAGCAATATGGATAAATTTGCAGCCTGTCCTTTCAATCCCACGACAAGTATCTGAGTCATTCTTTACTTGGAATCAGAACTATCAAATGGTTTAAGAGAACTGTTGGGGCTATCAACACTGAATTACTCTTCCGTACTAGAACAACAGGTTTTATCCACGGATCCAGGAATTACAGAAAAGCCAATGGAGAGTACATATGCGTGGAGGGAGCCCGGAATTCTCCGGACTGATGTATACAAATAAAAATAGAACAGTTTTTCTGGTTTTATTTCTTTTTTAAGAAGGGTGTCTTTCTATACAAGGGTCCTAGTCAAAAGCAGATTACCTGGCCTATATGCACTGACCACATCACAAGAGCAAGGCTGAGTTGAGTTCAATTGTTGATCTGTTTTGGTTTGGTGGTCTTCCATTTTTGGGGGAAAATTTGGGGGATCACAAAAGCAAAGGCATGGTAGTCAGATTGCTTCTGAGAATGAGCAATCAAACCGGAAAACACAACAATGATCTGAATCTTCAAAACTTGATTCTGGTTTGAAAGTCTAGGTATTCAGCCACACTAGAAGATTCTACTTCTTAAAGTTACATTTACTGGAGTCTAGTGTTAGTAAGCTACAGGTTATGTAAAGACCATTTTTACAGTCAGAGTCAGCTCTGTAACTAGTGAACAAAAGGAAGCTCCAGTTCCAGGTCCAGTTTCCAGTTCCTCCTTGGGTAAATAAGTAGAAAAAAATTAAACTTACTTGCAGGAAACTTTTGTACGATCAGCCACCATGGTCCATTGCTGCTGATTTGTTGAAACCTCAATGTAGTAGCTGTAGCTTCGATCATCACAGTCCCAAAGTAGCAACCTAAGCATGACAAAGTAGTTGAGGGCTGAGTACAATGAACATTAACCAAGTTGCTTTAGTCTTCTAGTCCTTTATTTCCTCTTAAACCTTTTTCAACTGAACTGTTTCTTCTGTAATGTGCCTCTAATATTTAACAAGGTCTTTTAACAGTAGTTTCTGTCATCTCAGACTTGAATGTCTCTATTCTCATCATCCTAAGGCCAATAACTGACTTACAATATCCATCTTATTCTCAATATTCTATGACATTCATCTAATTACTTCTAATTTATTTCAAAGACAATGAATGAACTAATTTTTTTGGCAATGTAGAATTGCCTGCTTTAAACCTAAATACAAGATCTGGTTGGAAAGGTCAGTTTAAGAGGGGAAAGAAGAAAAATTCAGAATTTTGTGACTAAAAGAAGACACTACCTTTTTACTTGCATTCTCTTTTTTTAGTAAACATACCAGAAATACTAAGATAAGGACAATAAAATAACCTAGGAATAAAATAAGGAAAAAAAAATGTTGATCAAATTGCTAAAACAAACAAACAAACAAAACCCCCCAAAAGTAACAGACCCACTCCATATTCATCCTCATAAATAGGGAGCCCTTCAGGAAGGGCACCAAGTGATATATTAAAAATTAGCCTTCAGTTTCTATCCTTGTTCCCCAGAAAGGAAGACGACGTATCAAGGATGGGATTTAAGTACCTCTTTTTCAAAAGGCTTATCTGGAAAATAACAGTAAGTCATTCTTCCTGTAAATTGTACCCTCTTTACCCCTTCCCCTAAATGGAGATTAACTCCTTGTTGTAACAGATATTTGAAACCCCAACATCATTCCTTGGTTTTCTTTTGTTTCTAAAGATATGAATCAAAGCAAGTAGCATGATATCCGCAGCAAGACCAAGAACCTTTCCCCCCCACCCCCGGGTTGCATGTGGTATTGAAATACATGTATTTAAGAAAAAAATCCAATGCAGAATGTCCTCTTTAGCAAAGATAACTGCTATATTCTTCACAGCATGTTTGGGAACCAATATGGATATGCAGCTCCTTTTCATCCAATGAAGCATCCACAAAGGGCAAGAGCGTATCTACAGACCTTCAAGGGGCAAGGGACCTGTTGAAACACTGCCAGAAACTTCTGTAATTTCTTCTTTAGGGGCAGTGAAGTGTGCTCCCTTTTTTGATTAACAGAGGTGATTTTGCTTCCATTTTACATAAATGCCTTAGCTAGTATCATTCTATTGATAAGCAGGGTGCAGTTTAGCACAACTAATTGCTGTTCTTTCTGTTTTCATACAAACTCAACAGCAAATGTGGTATTAAAACAAAATCTCCAAAATCTTTGCTATTTGAGTTAGAGGTGACTGGAGGCAAAACCGGCATGCTGCATTTACCATTTTCTAAAATAATGCTCTCTCATCAGTCTACCCAAAGTTTTCGAATTGTAATATTCTAATTGAACAAGGTTCATTACAGAAAAATAGGCAGGTTTTGCTGATTTTGCTGTTGTCAAACTCTTATGCTCTGAACCCTTACTCAGTACACCAATGGAAAATAAATACCATATTGCTCATATGATATACTGGCTGTTACCAGTTTTTGTGTTCTTCTGATCTTCAAGTTTTCATAAGCAAAATTTGCTAACGCTTGCTAGGATGACTGCTTAAATCTAACTATTTATTATAGAAGTCAAATAGGCAAAGCACTGCTAACCATCCAAAAAAACATACAACTGAACTGATGACCTAAATCAGAATAACTATAGCCACCACATACACAAAGAGAACTGTGAAAGCTGGGTAATACAGCCAAATTGGGTTCTTCAGCTGTGAGGAAGAACCTCTATAGATCCTCATTGTTCAAAGCGCAACAGATAAAGATCTGTGGACTGCCAATGAAAATAGCTGAGAAATATTTAAAAAGAAAAGGAACTTGTGTCACACTACAGACTTTCCCAGGCACAGAGTTTCAGTTTGTCTCTCTTTAAGAGTCTCTTACAAGCCTGAGTTTTATGTTATAAATTCCCTTCTCCCAGGTGGGAAAATCTTTCTTGCTTTCAGCTGCTACCTCTGCTGTGAGGAAAGTAACTGCAAAAATTATTGCTCAGCTTTAACATTAATAAACAAGAGTGCTAGAGGGAGAAAAATGACCTAGCTAGAGGGCGAACACAGAATCCTCACTCGTACGGAGAAATGCTGTCCAAAGCAGAAGCTGGACTGTCTTAGGAATTCATTTATCAAGGACATGCATCTTTGCCCTAGAAAACAGTGCTGTTACTTCTGCTCAAAACAATCTGGTTTAGCTCTTCATTTCCCATTTTGGAATCACTGCATTCAAAGTGAAGCCAGGTCTACCGGACAATCAGATTTGAAGTAACTCTTGAGATGCTTTCAACTCAATCTAGCTCTTTAATAGTATCAAAAATCATAAGCTATCAACAGTAGCCTTAAGAAGCTAAAATAAAGCACTTAAAATAGAAGTCTTTTAGCCTGTATTCATACTGCCTATCTGCAAATTAAAAATTCAGAGTTGATTTAGTAAAAACATAAAAATCAAAAGAGATCGCTGGGGCATCATACAAGACTCGGTTAGAAGAAAAAAAGAACTCTGCTTCATCAGATCCTCCCCATTCTGCTTTTCCGCAGCTTGAAGGTCTCCAAATACTGAAGAGATTGAATGTAGCACATTTTCTCTTTAAAAAAAGTCTGAAAGTTTATGGATTAAAATCCTGGATTTTGTAACTACTTATAAACAACAGATACTGACTCAATTTAACATCTACATTTGGGCTAAGTCTTCTAAATGATAAGAAGAAGGAAGGGCAAAACATATGTGAACTGTTTTCTTTTAAAAAGGCAATTAAAATGTAGCTCATTATGGTTTTCAGTAGGACCTTTCTCATCACTGGAGGCTCAGTGCTGTTTCCTTGATCCAGGTCTTCAAAGGTATGATCAAGAGTTTGAATTTCAGAAGCACACTAGGGACTGTAATTTTAACCAACAGTACTGTAATTAAAACACAACTGACTTGGTTTTAGAGCTAAAGGCTAAGAGGACATATGTCCTTCTTTTAAGAATGTATAAATTGCTTTCTCCCCCAACAATCCAGTCCAAGTTAAATGGCTTGAAAAAAGCATATGGCTTGGGATTATAAAACAAAAGTAAATTAAGTTATGAAACAAAAGTAAATTAAAGTTGGCAGAATAATTCACAAAGTGACTTAGCATGCACGATAAATACAGATCTTTGTTCCTTTGGGACTTGTGAAAGACAGAAAATAAAAGTTTCTTCTTCAACTCCCTGCAATGAGGAGGAGTTTTCTGTAGGAGAGAGAGGAAAGGGAGACCCACCACATAACCTCTTTGGAATTTATTCTGCATGAAACGCCTTTCCTGAGAAACAACAAAACTCTCAGGCATTTACATGAATATTCACCAGTGCACACTGGGCACAAGGGCCACGTTTTATGCCATGTACACTAATCTTTCAAACACATTCCAGGCAAACTACCAGGATAAATTTTGCAGAGAAGCTACGCTTTTCTGTGATGGATACTGAATGGCTGGAAGGAGAATATTTTGCTGAAAAAGTCAGAACTATACTCATTAAAAATACATCTGTTTATAGAAAAATTGCCTATGTTCCTAGGACATCCCCTGTTAGACTAAAATGCTAAATTAGCTCTTGTTAGTAAATCTTGCCCTCAGGATTGAGCAAGAAAAGCTGAATGAGACTTCAGATCATTCCCTGCAATGCCAAGAGATTTGAATGTACTTCTCATATGCTAACGCTTTTGGAATCTAAAGGTCAAGCCTGTTCATCATTTAATATGGTACTGTTATTTACACTACATGTTGAAAATGCCTCATTTTATAAAATAAGTGCTTTTCAAATATAGATAACTGTTTTCACAGTACAGCTGTGGAAAACTGATGGGCAGCTGGATAAGTGTCTTGTCCAACGTTTCAAAGTAAATCAGGGATAAACCGAGGCATAAAATTCAGACCTTGCAGCTCTTTGTGCGAACATGTTTCCTCTCACGATCATAATCTCTGTTATTCCCACAAAGATCTATACAATTTTAACTATGGAAGTCCATTCTCAGTTGGCACTAGCTGTTAAAATCCTGCTCCCCCTTTAAGTTGCTTACAACACAACAGATGATGAAGATCTTTGAGGCCCCTTTATGAAGGAAGACAACTTGACAAAAGCCAGTCATCCAGTGCAGACTGACCACAAGACGAAGCCCGGTCGGAAGCTGAGCAATGCGAGCTGAGGGGTTCTCCAGCCGCAAAGCAGAGAACTGATGTGTCCAGAGGACTGCTTCAACAAGCTGTCTGCATATGGGCAGCAGAAAATCATGAGACTAAAGGCTAACCAATGCCACCGAAGGTGTGAGAAGGGCTCCGACTGGAAGCAGAGACACCGACTGGAAGCAGAGACAATACCTCTCAGGCACAATACTTCGAGTGGCTGACTACAGGTACCTTTTGTAGCAAAGAAACTTCCTGATGCTGTTTGTTTCTGCTGTGCTCAGAAAAGCAGAACTTTTTTTTTTTTTTTTTGGTGCAATCATGTTATTTAGTAAGAAAGCATACAGACTTGCACCATCAATTTCTCTTTCTAAAAGAAGTAAATCTGCAGAGCTTCACGTATCGGCTGCCTGTTACACAAAAAAGGCTACAGTACTTTTTCAACAGTACTTACCACATGCAGTGTAAATATTTGATAATACTATGTTCATAAATTACAGGCATACTGATGGAAAATCAAAAGATGGAAAGAAATTAAAACATAAGGTAATAACACTTCTTTAAAGAAGTGTGAAAAAATGAAAACAAAATGAAAATGAAAAAATGAAAAAAGAGTATTTTTAGACAATTGTTATTATATTTTTGAGTGCAGTTGTCTATAATCCCCTCTCATTTTCTGCAGATGATTTGTCTCAGTAGTTATCCTGCAGCAAACCAATCCTTAGGATCCCACAGATGAGTCAAAATGCTGCATATTTGTTATGTGCTTGCATCATCTTTCATTCTGAGTTATGACTGCACTCAAGTCAGGCATGAATAGCAAATGAGCAGCAAAGAAAGAAAAAGTTCATGAGCAGAAATGGTAAGGAAAATCAGGAAGCATAAGAGATGTATAGGACGATGATATAAGCATACAGAAAATATGTTAAAGCTACTTGATATAATTTGTGACTTTAAGAACTACTCTGGAGATGAAAATCACAACAGTTGGCTACCAAGTATTAGTACTGAAGTCTTCAAAGAGATTAGAAAGGGATAAGTGGTTTATCTGCTTTTACAGAGGTGAAAAGTATTTCCATTTACTTTAACATGAAAACCACACAGTACAGAAGAATTGTCCCTCCACATATACTGTAACAAATTCTGCTCCATCAGGGTTTTTTTCCTCTCTCTTTTGGAAAAAAGCAGAAAAAAATCCTATAAAGTTGTCAGCCAAAGATTGCAGTACAATATTATTATATTTCTAGTCAAGATAAATGTTGGGAGAGAATAAGAGACAGCTATTTTGATATGGCAGCCTTTTCAATACTAAAGTGGTACCCATTTAACAGTTAAATAAAAGGCACTTAAACTATGTTTACCATGATAAACACATCAATTGCTATGCTTCTGTTCCTAGTTAAACATAATATTTTTTCTGTCATTGATAAAGGCCTTTTCAGAGAAGAAAAATAGGAAGGTTATTTTCTTTCCAGGCAGGTGACAACATGGAAAAACTAGCTCAAGTGAAGTAATTTATTTTCTCTGTCAGTTAACTGTTCCAATTATCTTGTAATCTGTCCCAGGCAGAAGGCTTAATAAAAGAATACATCTCTTAAACTATAAAATGTTTTTATTTCCATAACTTAGAATACGCTATTTAGTTATAATTATTTAAAATAAAACGTTTTCCAGGCCTTTTCTGGTAAGGACTACTAATGGGCATTGACTATCATTACATCTCTTTAAGAAGTTCTAAGTAAATTCTGATGTGGCAGTCAAGAGCTCCCAATTTATAAACAAATACTTGAAGTATTTGACATTAACAAGGTTTCAACATGTTCTTCCACAGGATCACTGTACCCAAGTTGGGATGTTATAGTCTAGATGGGTGGACTACTAAAGGGTAGTGAAAACTGGTCAGATTGTTTCAAAGGGTAGTGGTTAATGGCTGATAACCTACCCGGAGGCTCGCTGCAAAAATTCCTCCAGAGTCTGTTCTGGGACCTATCCTGCTTAATATTGTTGTCAAAGATCTGAAGGAGGAGACGGAGTGAGCCTTCACCTAACTGGTGGAAAACAGTAAACTGTGGGGTGCAATAAATACACAGCCAAAGGTACAGCTGTCATTCAGGGTTGATTCCTAGCCACAAGGTAGGCTAGAGGAATGGGCAAACAGGAACCTCACAAAGTTCAACAAAGACAAAAGCAAAATCCTGCACCTATCCACAGACCGATCCACTGCAGTAACACAGGCTGAGGTCTGACTGGCTCTACTGAAAAGCACATGGGAGTCGTGGCGGACAGAAGACGAAACTGCACGAAAAAAAATTACACTGTGAGGATAATTAAGCATTGGTACAGGCCACCCAGAGAGGTTGTGCAATCTCCGTCCTTGGAGGTTTTCAAGACCTGACTGCATAAAGCTCTGAGCAGGATGGTCTTATCTCATAGCTGACCCTACTTTCAGGAAGAAGCTGGAATAGATGACGTCCTCAAGTCCTTTCCAACCTGAAGGATTCTGTGATACTAAGACAAATGGATGAATTTTGCAGAAATCATGCATACAAGATATATTCTTGAAACATTTAGTTCTCTATGCATATCTAATACATACTGGAGTTTCAACAGTTCTGCTGCTTTATTCATACTCAGAACTTAGTTGCCATGGTAATACCTTCTGACTTAGAAGCTCTCTCCTGTGGCATGCTGATTTCTATATTCTACAAGCATCTACTACCCTTTTTCCAAAGGCTTATATACTCTCTCAGATACAACTATATTCCATGACATATTAATGTTTTTGAACTTTTAACATATGTTAATTCCTAATTGTTGATTTCGAACCTAAACTCAGATACAATGACTCAGATTCTGGGGGCAGAGCAATTCTGTGGATGCTCTGTGCAAGGACAGTAGACGGCTAGCCTAACAAAAATACTCTGGGAAATTTTTTTCTGCTAGGTGGAAAGATGAGAGATCAAGGGAGTTTTCAAGCAAGACGACAACAGAAAAAACAGGCAACGAATAGTGTTCAAGCGGTTGTGGAAGATTCTCTCCTGTTCAAAAAAATCTCAAAATGCTTTCATTAACATGAAATACTAAAACTTTGTTTTCATTTGCGTTTATATGTAATTTGATCTTTTGACCTCTGTACCAGCCACAGATTTTACATGTCAGTTAATATATTCTTAGTCCTTCACAGGGCCAAGCCTCTGCTGCTACTTAAAATCAAGTTCAAATTGGCATGAAAATGATGCAATTACTTTTCAATTATCTTTCTTAAGAAATCTGAGCACTGTGCCTTCCTGTTCTTTACTTGAGTTTCAATACTTAGTTGAACATCAAAAACACCAAACTCTAAAGCATAAAATATTCACTGTGGAAAATGGCTAACTATACTTTTCATTTAACTTATTTCATGCAGCAAGAACAATGCTGGACTCTCATTGTGCATATGGTCTATAAGCTGGCAAACAAACAAAAACTACTTTTGTTATGGTTTAAGGATTTGCCTAGATGTCTGATTTTAAACTCTATCTTCAAAGTTTTATAATGCTCACAACAATATCACAAGCTGAAATGAAAACACAGCTTTTGAAGAGGGGAGTGATTATTTCCTTCACTTTTCAAGATTCAGGGCGAGTAAAAGCAAAAAAGGTATGCCAAGTCTGCAATTTTAAAGAAAACGCACTTCAAAAACTCTTCTTTTTAAAAAGGCAAATATAGTCCGAATACATAAGAAAGTAGGTTCTACGAGAACTGCCACCATCTCAGACATTTCCTTACATCCCTGCTGATATTCTCCTTAAACGTGGACAAATATCTCAGGCACAAAAATGGGCAGTTACACAATGGATTTCAAATCTCACTTGCTAATCAGTCAGTTGTCTATTCTGACAAAAAGAAGGCATAGTACTAGCTTCTAGCAATACATATTTATGTATAGAGCCTCTGCTGCTAGCCAGTACCTAGGCTGGAGTTTCCAAATTCTCTCGCTGGCATTGTAATTTCAGAAAGCTTTCCTTCTTTTTTTCATTGGCATTGAGAATACAAATTCAGCTCCTGACAACATATTGTTCTAAGTTTACAGACAACACTAAAACATTAAGACAGAAATGTGCATGTCTGATTTAATGAAACAAACCACTTATTTTACAGTTTGAGGATCTGAAGTTGGCAAGAACGTTTCTTTCTTCACCTGGGAACAGTTCTGCTCTCCAATCTATTTCCAAAGCACAAAAGCAAGGGGAACTGAAGAAGCAAGAAGCTTTTACTTTCGCCAAAACTTTGTTCTCCAAACGTATATGGGCTTTTACTCCAGAAACAGCTCAGTGAAATTTAATTCCTGATCTAAATGCATTCATTAATCCATCTTTGTAAAGTCATATTCAGGTTACTGTGCCCTTTTTACACATTCCTTGTTCAAGTAAGAGCTGGAACTAATTGCATAGTGAAAAGGCAAGTTAGGAGTAGGCAGGTCTGACACTGAGATGATAGCTTTCTTCAATAAATACTTGTGCTTTCATAATGAGATGCATATGACAGCGGAACTGCACCTACTCTTACCACAAGTGGAGATGCAACTAAATTTCTCTTTGAATATAACAGATAGCTATACATCTTTAACATTAAAATTTGAATATTGCTATTTTGCCTCTGAAATGTATTTTTCCGGAATTGCATTGCTGTATCTTGACATGCAGTTCTATAATACATTTAATTTTTAACTTGGCCATTATATGGAAGTAAAAATCCAAACATCGATACTAAAATAGTCCCCCAATTATCATAATTTCCAAATATCATATAATCTAAAGAAAATAACCGTGCTCAGTAAAAGTCTCATCGTTGTCCTTAATTTAGAGAAGAATAATCTCCTTACCGTATTGATCCAATCATGTAGGGCTGTGCCAGCTGTACTACAATAGCTCCACTCCCAAGCTGATGGCACGTATACCCAGAATCCCAGTCATAGTTTTTTGTGTCTCCATTCAACAAGGCATTGCGACTTCGGCTTACACCCTCAATCACACTGGCACAGTCTGCAATTGTTGCAACATTCTCAGTGGGAACTGTGAATTTAAACATAAAGAAGACAGATGTAGTAATGCAGCCAGAAAACAGTTCAGATACTAATCGCCTTTATTTCTGGAAAGAATAAAAAAGAGGATGAAACTACGATCAATACATGGGAATGTAACTCTGTTTAGCATGAATTACGAAGCACAGTCAAGATGCACAAATAATTTTACAGCATTAATTCCAGAACAGTTAGGTAAATTAACAGACAGATTCCCATCTTGGAGATGACATGACAGCACTTTTTTAACAGAGCTGGGAAAAAAAATTTTTGTCCAGCAAAACTTTAGAAAATTTCAAACAATTTCTTATCTTCTCGTTCTCATAATGAAAACAAACTCATCTCCAAGGAAAAAAAAAAAAGAGAGACAATAAGTAAGTGGGAGACAGTTTAAAGCATTGAATTGGATTGTGGGGAACCAGGACTCAAATTCTTCAAAACCAGGCCTCACATGTTCTCAGCTCAGGTGACAATTCTCAACACGTACCTGTTGGTACTACTGATGCTCTTTTAGCCAGAAATTTCACCTCAGATTTTAGAAAATTACATTAAAAAAAAATTGATTAAATACTTAATTACAAAAAATCTTGGGCTATGAGAGCGGAAGAGGGACTGACAGGTCTGTCCAGCCAAATGGAACAGCAACTACAGAAGCATTTCTCACTCGATCAAAATTAGGAAAAAGGAAAGACCAAACTCTGCAGCAAAGAAGCTGTAATATCGCAACGCCAAAAGAAATGAAACTACATACAACTGATTCTCTTGGAAAAAGAAAAGCCAAAGTATAGGATGATGATTTTCCTCCTGGAGATACCGGTAAAATTATATGGGACTTTTTTCCTCCTAATTTCATCCAAGAAAACCTGTGGCAGATAATTCTTCTATTTTATACGCAGCCATAAAAATGCCGGCATGCAACTGCTATGCCAAACAAAATCAAAGGTTTTACTGCAGAATATGGAACTCACCTTCTGTCACGATCCTTAAATGCAGTTATTTGAATATTATAGGGAAAATGAATAAATTTAGAGAACCGAAGTAGTTCTCAATTTAGTGAAAGCATTCCTTAGATGACCATGAGAACACGGAGTTTCAGTGTCCAATGTTACATCTCAATTCTAATTGCATAGCATTGTGTTTCCCAACTGCTACCTTGTGCTGTACACCTATAATGAGCTCGCTCTTTCACCTTTACAACCCTCTCTTGCAATCAATGTACATCCAACTTCAGTTCCTCCTTCTCCTTGGCACTCCTAAAGTTGAATACTCTAGTTTTGGAACTGCTGTTACAAACTGAATTAGATGAAGGCTAACTCAACTGTTTACTAGGTATTTTTAGAAGTAAAGGAACATTACATACCCAACAATAAAACATGTTGGTGTATGGGGAGCTATTTTTCTTTGGCAAAGGATGCCAGGACCTAGAAATCTTCCCTAGGATAGGAATGCTCTTCTACTGCTTCTTTAGTCCTGCTTAATCTGACTTAAAATGCAGTGTTAAGTAGCTCCCCCTTCTTTTCAAAACAAACACAATTCACAGTAGACTTAGTGTTGGATGTCATTTCAGCAACGTGAAAGATAAGACAATAGCAGCTCCTCTAGGAACAGGCAGAAAGAAGGAGGTACATCTTCTTGTGCACAAAACACTTTCTCAACACTGTTTTACAAGTGCTTCAACACTTACTTTTTGAATTACCTATTATTTTCTTTTCTTAACATTTAATCAAGTACAGTGCTTTGTTTTCACCTGTAATTTGGAGGGACTAAGAATGTCTCTCAAGCTTTCTGAACATCATCTTCCAGTAAGATGAAAGATAAACATAATAGAGTTTTTAAGACGTCCTACTTATGTCCAGCACTTTCTCAAAAAGCTTAGTTTTTTTGCTAACCTCTTCAGCTTTTCAAGCTTTCTCAGCTTTTTCATGTCTATCTCTATCCAGTAATGAGAAAATTAACAAGACTGCAAAATGATGCTCTCTGAACTTGTGAAAAAAAAAAAAAAAACCCAAGCTTACCTGCTTAGCCTTTGTTTTCTGGGGAAATACTGAAAACATTGATTGTTTGAGTTAAATGAGGACAAAAATTCTCCCTTCAGGGGCTAAATAAAAAGGTACGATTTTATGCGCCTGCATCTGTGCCTGATGAAGAACAACCAATTTCTGTCTGGTAATGCAATTAAAAAAGGGGAGGAGTGAACAAGTTGCCAAACATTATCTGATTGCCAATGGTCAGTTCAACAAAATCTCCCCATACCAAACATTTTTGAAAAGCAGAACAACAACAACCAAGCCAAAACGTGAACTACACAAAAAAATTAGAAGAAATACATAAGACCTAAAACAAAAACTATTTGAATTATCACAAATGGTGTATAGTACAGATGAAAATGGATTTGTACGCCATTTTGAGCTCACTGCAGACCGAAATCTTACTTACAGAGTTGCATATGAGCAGTTCTAAAATACGAATTTAAACTATCACGTTGTCTGAAAATGGCTGAAATACAGCCATAGGAAATTTGAGAGTTAGTCATGAAAGTCTCCAGCCAAAAAAAAAAAAAAAAGACAAAACTTTCCATGAAGAGTTAAGATTCTGTGTTTTAAGTGTGCTATTCTCAGGAGCAGAATCTTCATGAAAAGGAACATGAGAACCTCTAAGCTTATTGCCAGATAGTCCCTCAATTCACTGTACTGGAAAAGCAACTGTTTCGTAGAAACGCACTGTCAAACATACTATCATCTCTGTATGCCTCATCAAAAACTACTAAAACCACCACAATATTATTCTAGAAATCTCTTGAAGTACTATCACTGAAAACCGATATTCAGAAGTTCTCAGATTCTTACTGGGGAGAAAATGGTAGATGTCAGAAGTACTTTTATAGGAAGGATCTGAATAAAGCAGAGATCAACAATTCAAACCAAAAGCACAGCGGCATCAAAAAACGTCTAGCTTGGCTTCCTTCTCTTCATCGGCAGTTCAGAAAACTTCCTTGGGCATCCATTTTATATGGGCATTAAAGCATCTTCCATATACTGCCACTTTTTGCAGGAAAAGGAAGCTACTGATTACTGGGTTAAAAAGGAGTAAAAAGCAAAATGCCAAAGTCAACTTTCATGTTGAGGCCCTATAACATACTCTGGATACCCTGTGAGCAATATAAGGCATCAACACTGTGCAACCTCAGTTTATTCACCATATTTCTGGCATTACCCTGCTCCTTCTCACACTTAGACTTCTGCACTAACCCAGGAACTCCCAAGATGATGTCACCCTGAATAGCTGCACTCCTTAATAAATGCCCAGAAACTATTTTATTGAATATTTAATGCAATTCTGTGGGGTTTTTTTTACAGTGGTAAATTAGAAAGTGATTCTAACTAATTACAGCATGCAGAAGGTGCTACGCTTCCTTCTCTCCAGTGGGGGTTTGCCATTCCTTATTTTGAATGTTCATAATCATCTTTCATACTCGCCTGATAAATTTATTAAAAACACCATCTGTTGGGGACTCTGCTCTGTGCTGTATTTTCAGGTCTTGTAGTTCCCTTCCTTTTTCCCATTGGAATTTCTGATTCAATTTGTGTCATTTGTTTACAAAAAAGTACTGCCAAAAACAATAGCGTTGCTTTTCTTTTTTTCTTTTTGCTTTTTCTCACAAGCGTCAGCTACCCAGCTATTACAGTAACCAAGCTTGTAAGAGAAGACAAAAGAGAAGAGATTACAAGCATGGAAATTCTTTTTTCACTGTTCATATAGCAGTTTCGCTCTGACAAATAAAATTTGCTTTTATGGAATACAACGGATCTGGGCGAGCAAAGCATACATATTCTGTAAGCAAACAAAAGTACAAGATCGAGCTTGCAGACAGTTGCATGAAAACAGTTATTAAAACTTATTTCATTGTTTCCTGGTCTTATTCTGCAAGTAAGAAGAAATGAATAGCATAGCAGCATATTTAATTCCAGTAAAATTATTTTTCTAAAGGATTGTCATTTCCAAGGTACGGCCTAAGGACCAAGGCAAAGTATAGGTGGCTATACCAGCTATGTTTAAAGATAAGACAGACGTGTTAGTCAACTGTCCTTAGCAATCTCCCACGAGAAAAACGTCTTGGGAATGTGCAACAGACCTCGGCCATATCTATTTATTCCTGCTTATCAAGGTGTATTCTTTTTCATAAAAGGATTTTTGGCACACTTGGTTTTCCATAGAAATTTTTCTTCCTGAAGTACTCAGAAAAAAAAAAAAAATGCCGCCTTTATAATGCATTGCCTTCTGCATCTGAGTCCAAAATAGTTCCTTTCATCCACCCAGTCTGGACAAGTCAGATTCTGTTTACTTTGCATTCAGCACAACTTCATTGCCTTCATCTGGGTAACATGGAAAAAATGATTTAAAATTCTGGAAAAAAAAAAGAGTCTCTGGCCACTGGAAGGAACAAAATGGAGCTGGTTCAGAATACCTATTAATAAAACTTTAATTCAATTACTAAAACAGATATAGAGAGATAGCTGATCTGCTGAGTACAATTAGCTTATAGAAAGGCTGTAGTTTAAAACATTATGGGCTGTTGAATATATTTAAAATGTACTCTAGACAATGAGCAGTCAAAGGATCTCACCTAAAGTGTCATCACTGCCACAAAAACTACACATTTTATTGACTTTTCTTAAAACACATACAAAACTGTCAAGGTGTACATGCAAGAACAGATGGGGGTGAATGGCATGTACCCAAACGCATTTCAACCCATTGCAGAGCTATGCAGTCAGGGTTGTAAGACTTTGGACAACTCTTTATGAAGAAACAATTAACAAGAAATTATATTGGAGGAAGTATATTTTTGTTTTATTTAATTCAAAGAAGTGATTTTTCCTCTCACTCTGTCACCTGTTAGATGCTCAGCTTTCAATCTCTCCATTTCATGGTAAAATCATTTTTTTCTCTACAGAGGTGACAAAAGTTTCCTCACTAGAAAATGACAGGTAG